GGGATCAAGATGCTTAGAAGATTACTGTCTTCTAATTAAAGGGGCAAACAAAAATCAAAGCAGCCAAATAAAGGAACCATTTCTCTTGGAACAACACTCTAGGGCATCAGTGCTTAAAAGACTACCCCTTCATCTCATAGCCCATGGAGGCTAAGCAGATTTACAATCAAGTTATCCTAGTCAAGTCAAAGCTAAGACATCAAGAATACAGAGATTAACACTTGCAAGAGACAAGAATCAGGATGCCTTATATAGGTATTTTCTGATAATCGTCACCCCTCCTAAGAGGTGTCCATATGAACAAAAATCAAAATCAAGAAGATCAACAAGTATACTAAAACAAGAACTAGCAGAGTATGCAGAATTTGAGTAAGAGTGGTATATAGAATTTGAGCAAGAACCAATGTCAGAACAAGAATGGTTTTCAAGGACAATTCAAACTAGATTCCAAAAACCAAATATCAATTGATTTTCAAGAATAGATTCCAAGAACAATATAAGAATTAATTTCAGACAAGTATCGAGATAATGAGGATTTCAATAATCATTATCCATTTCTGGATTTCAGTTTCAAGAACAAGTACAAAGCAATTTCAAGAAGGATTCAAGACGGATTTTAGGAGTTTCAAGCAGTTCTAGGTATCAAGAATGTAAAGATTAGCAACAATAAAGAGTTTAACTTTATGACAGCTTGCCAATCTTCACAAAAATATGGCAATTTCAATTGAATTGATCATTGTTTTTGATTAACCAATATAGAAAAATGAGCTACATGAAAAGACCATGAAGCTCCAAATGGAAAAAGTGAAACTTCACTATAAGACTTTCAGAAAGATAATGAGCAACGAAATTACCAAATTATCCATCTCCTAAAACACATCTAGAAAACACACAACATTTGCTAAAATAGTCTTGAATCTCTTACAAAGTAGAGGGTTGCCCATCTTTCACTGGTCATGTGACAAACAGAACAAATGTCTCAACCAGCTATGCTGTAGAAACCAATAGGATCAATAACAAAAGATCTCTGCAACTCCCCAGATTTTACAATTGTGGCAAAAGAGCATACAAAAATTCTATTCAAGTAACAAATCTAAACAAGTGCGGATTATCAGAAAATGACCAAGTTTCAAAACAAGGTCTTAAGAACATGGCGGACAAGATTAATTTCATGAATCTACATAGGGTATGAAGGCAGGAAACAAGAATAATTAGATTAGCATCTCATCAAAATGGATTAGAAAATTCAGGCAACATGAATGAGAATCGTCCCTTATATAACCCCATCACTCATCTCACCACGGTTCTAAAATCCACTGGCCAGCCAAGTCCAAAACAAATCCTAGGTATTTAATTAAATCTAAGTTCTGATACCACTCAATCTGGAGGTGCTTAATTTAAATCTAAGCTCTTAATTTCAACCTAAACTCTGATACCACTAAATCTGGAGGTGCTTAATTTAATCTTAAACCCTTAATATACACCTAAGCCCTGATACCACTAAATTTCCAGATATCTAATTTAACCTAAACTCTGATACCACTAAATTTGTCACGCCCCAGAACCCAATCTGAGGTGTAACAAACGCCGTGCACTCGTGAGAGGGTCCCACAAATGCACAAGGCTCAGAACTTATCCAATCCACATCTGACAATCCAATAACTTAAATCAAATATCTCAATTTATTTCTATATCCAAAATGACTTACATCCAAGTAATTGATCTAATGACCGAAATCTGTTTTGATCTCATAAATTCAAGGTAAAATCTATCTTACAAAAGCATGATTTATTTCTAAAATCTATATCAATCTCAAAATGGCTAGCCTTCTAACTCGTCACTTCCCGTGGTTTCCCCGTCCTCGGTTTCGCTTCCTGAAATAATGGACAAGGAAAAACTATGAGATAAACTCAATAAGTAAATATGGAGTGCCCTTATTAAACTTATAGCATGCCAACAAGTGTAATCACGAAAAACGGATACAGTACAGGAACAAAATAGACATCTCCTCTATAGGTCACGGCTAGTGTTATAAACCTCCCACTGACAGGCACACGATTTATTAGTGTATAATCCCACTAGCAAGATAACAGAAACGAATCAATTCTATCAGTAACATGTCGATATGTGCTAGCGTTTATAAACCTCCCACTAGCGGGTACACGAATAACATGACCATATCGGAGACAAAACAGGCAGAAGTTAACAGAAAAATCATAATTCACCAATCACTTTCAAATCATCAGGACAATCAATTAAATTTCAAGTAGGCATGCTTAATTTAATGAAAAGCATAAAAATTTCACTTTAAATCAGTCATACTTACTTTTGTGTAAAACGGGTTTAGTCCCGCCACCACTTCAAAAACAAATCAAAACATGCTTTTAAAAACTGTACGGGCATTACCATAAATTTACTTACCTTACTCGCATAAAACCGAAGACTCGATCTCAGTGCTAAATTGACAGAACGATCAGGAACCTAATCAGAATATCCAAGAATTAATTCTATAAACTATTTCATTGACCGGATTGTGTATATATATATATATATATATATTTATATGCACAAATACATATATAAATGGTTTCCCAATCTCACGGATAAAACAATAGGGAACAAGGCTTTTATTTCAATTCCAATTTTTTTCAAGAAATGGAAGGGTGGCGGTGGTTGGGAATTTTCGGGCTGCAGGGGAGAAACAAATGAGCAGAAACACGAAATGGCTGGAGAAGAAGAAAGAAGAAAAAGAAAAAGAAAAGTAGCCGACCCTTCTAGATTTTCCTCCTATAAGTCCCTGAACTTCGAAACCTTTGGCTATTAAGTCCCAAAACCATATTTCCTCTCACAAAGGTCCTCACTTAATGCTAAAATATCACAAAATTTTGGGGTATTACACACTAAATACTTTATAATTTCAATTACAAACATTTAAATTAAGAAAAAAAAAGTTATAAATAATAATAAATTGATTAATAATAAAAATATTAAACGTAAAATATTTAAATTTCTTGAAAAATAAAGTTTTAATTTTATAATCATCTTAAAACATTATTAAGTAGTTTAATCCATTTTTTTAATGATGAAATTGCTCTTCCAAGAACATCTTTCACTAAGTTATTATGTTTATATCCTAAAATCATATCTTTTAATATTTTTAGTTGCATTATCATTTCATTCATAATACTTGGGTAATTGTTAATATCAAAAAAATAATAATAATAAGACTTGGGTAATTAGATCAAACTTATCATAATTTCTTCTTTTTTCTCTAGAAATTAGGGAGTACGAATTAATGGAAGGAGTTATCAATAGGAAAATTAATTAAGGATGATAAGTATAATATTTAAAAATAATAATAAAAAACAAAACAAACAGGTCAACCCGTCAACCCACGGGTTGACCCTAACCCGACCCATGACCCGTACGGGTTGATAATACGGGTTATATATAGGTTGCGGGTTGAGATATGTAGACCCTAATCCGTTTTTTAAGGCTTGGGTTAGGGTCGAGTTGACGGGTCGGGTGAATTTTTGCCAGGTCTAATCACTAACTTGTAACATGTTATGACTTAGGGTGTATTTGGAATTGTTGTGAAGTATTATGACTGTAGTTGTGGTTATGCTTAGCTGTGGTTGTGGCTGAAAGTTATTTTGATATTTGATTATTTATTTTTAAAAAATATTATAGATGAAATATAATAGATTTTATTAATTATTAATTAAAATTTTAAAAATATTGTAAGATATATAATTATT